TAATAATAATAAATAACGCTAAATTAAAAAAAAAAAAGAACTTAGCAGGGGCCCAGAGCTAAAAGTGTCAGCTGCTGTAATAAAAATCACCCTTCTGGTTGCTGCTGTTCTACTGCTACTATTTTAAACTACAGGATGTGAAGCTCTTCCACATCTTCTTTTTTAAATTTTTATTTAAAATTTTTTCTTTTTTTAATTGAAGTGTAGTCAGTTACAATATGTCAATTTTTGGTGTACAGCATAACATTCCAGTCATGCATATATATATATATATATACATATTATATATATATATATACATGGGCAGGAGACAAGTTGCCCTGAGGTAATGTGGCCCTGAGGCACATCCACATGCAGCCCCGCTCCTCTCCCCCATCTCCTCCCTCTACTCTTCCTCTCATTCTTTCTCACCCCAATTCCTTTCTTCTCCCTCCCTCTCTTGTGGTGTAATTGTTGCGAAGCCAGACCATCTAGGTTCAAATCCCAGCTCTGCCACTTTCAGGCTGTGTGACCTTGGATGAGTGGCTTCCCTTCTCTGTGCTGCAGCCCTAAGATGAGGTAACATAAGTGTCTCCCTCCAAACATGTCTGGTCAGTACACAGAGCGCCAGGCGCAGAGTGAGCGCTCCCACTGCTCCTTCATGCTCTCCTCCCTTGCCCCTTGGTCCCTCCATGACTAACATCACCTACTCTGTCTGAGGAGATCCCTTTATGGTTTTCCAGGCTCTTTGCCTCTATTCCCTCTCACCATTTGGGACCAAGAGCCCGAGGAGGCAGGCAGGGTACCATCTCTCACTTCTCCAGCAGGGACATCGAGGCAGAGGTGCTTGCCCACCTCACTCGCTGTGCTGGAGCCAGGGCCCGCCTCCACCTGGGTCTGTCTCAGAAGTGGGCTGCCCTCCTGCTGTTCAGGCTCTAAGGTGGGATGGCTGGCCAGAGGCCCCAAACTGCCTGCACGTGTGTCTGGACGGCTGGTGCTTCCAAATCCAAGACTACTCATTAAAACCCAGGTTTCTGCTTTTCTGGAAAATCTGGAAGCTCTCTGGAGCCCAATTCCTGGCTAGTTATTAACACCTCTGGTTTCATCTTCCTCATCTAGAAAATGGGGATGATGACTGTGCTGACGTCATGAGGATGTCATGAGAATTAAATGAGTTTAAGAAGCATAAGGTAAACGCATGAGTGTTTGTACACAAATGTTCACAGCAGCCTTGTTCATCATGACCCAAAGTGGACACGATCCAAATGTCCACCAATTGATAAATGGGTCAACCAGATGTGATTTATACACACCCTGGGATATTACTCAGTCATAAAACAGAAGGAAGTTCTGACAAAGGTGACAACATGGATGGACCTTAAACCACCGTGCTGAGGGAACGGCCAGACACAAAAGCCCATGTAGCGTATCGCTCCATATACCTGAAGTGTCCGGAACAGGCAAATCCACAGAGACAGACAGCAGATTGGTGGTTGCCTGGGGCTGGGGGTGGGGGAATGGGGAGTCACTGCTAAAGGTACAGGGCTTCCATTTAGGGTGATGGAAATGTTCTGGAACTAGGTGGTGGTGACGGTTGCACACCATTGTGAATCTACTCAAACCCACTGAACTGTAGACTTTAAAATGGTGAATTTTACATTATATGAATTTTATCTCAAAGTAATGCAAAGAGGAGGCAGAGCTCAGTGGTAGAGTGCCTGCTTAGCATGCACAAGGTCCTGGGTTCAATCCCCCAGTACCTCCTCTAACAATCAATCAATCAATCAATCAATCACTAACTAAATAAATGCATGCCTGCAAGGAACTTCACAAAACACCATCAAGTGCTTAGAATAGGGCCTGGCCTGGAATAAGCCCTCAGGAAATATTAGGTCCATTAAAACCAGCAGGAGATTCAAACCAAGTGAGGCCCTGGCCCATCTGGACCCCTCTCCTGGGCCTCACCCCTTAAGCACAATAAAAACCCAGGTCAGAGGCCTTTCCTTGTTCTCTTAGAGCATTTCAGAGCTGCTTTCCCCAGAGACTTCAATTCTGCACGCAATACACCTTTCATATCTTCTCAGTGTGTGCGGGACAGCATTGGTCTCAACATTCCAACTAAATTTGGGGGAGAGTCCGTCCTATGGCCACTGGGCAGACAGAAGAGTCATCGGTCATCACTGTCCTTGCCCTCTATCCACACTAGGCCCGCACTCCCATGTGAAAAGAGTAGGGGGCACTGAAGAAGACTGTCCTCTTTACACAGGGTGCACGCTCTCTGCTTGGCTACAGTCCCCACCACTCCCAATTGCCCTACTCCCAGCCTCTTTCACTCATTTACTCTACCTGCCTGGCCCTGGCAGGTGGGGAGGTTTGCAGTCTCAAATCTATGAGAAAGCTGCCTCGAGGTGGGCCGGTAGCTGGGGTATGGCTTCCACTTCCATCCTCGGACTGGGGTTCCCTCCTCCTTTGCCCTAGCCTGGCACCTGTCCACCTGTGGACAGAGGGTACCTTCATAGAGAATGCCCTGGTCGTCCCTGGTCTGGAGGGATCCCAGCTTCCAGTGATGCCCACTCTTGTCCGTCAGCACCGTCCCTGCTGGCAAAGCCTGGAGCGAGGTGGTCACTCGGCTCCGCTTCAGGGTCTGAGGGCTTCGCCTGGTTGTCTGAGGGCTGCTATGCGGGGTGGGGGATCTGCTCCAGCACCCTGCAGGAGGATGGTCAGGATAAAGAAAAAGTGGCATCTGAGAGAGGAAATGGGTCATCAGACAACACTAATACTGTTCATGGATCCATTTGTTCATTCAGCAAGTGCTCCCAGGGACCTTTCATGGACCAGGTCCTGTGTGTCATAGCTAGGGGAGTACCCTGAATGTGAGTCAGACCCAGGTCTTGTCCTCAGGAGCCTGATTTGGTGGGGGAATCTGATCTGGACACTGCTGGTCAGAACTGAGTCAGAGATGGGGCAGTACAGGGGGATCTGAGAAAATGACTGACTGTGCCTACAGAAGTCAAGGGAGGCTTTGTGGAGGAGGGGACATTGGAGTTGGGTCTTGCTGGATGAAGAGTTTACCACGGAGGGGAAAAAAGACATTCCAGACAGTCATCCTAAAATAGGACCTGGCCTTGGCCTTGTGCTGAGTAGGAAGAGGGAGCAGAAATTTGTGAGACTGAGGGGCTCCTAGACTGGCAAGAGAATGGGGGTTGGGTGGTGAGGAGACAGACAGGTTCACAGGAAAGATATAACGACTCCATACCTCCCACCCACCATCCACCCAGGGAACATGGTGGCAAGGGGGCAGTGGGCCCCAGAGGATAACAAAGGACACAGAGGAGACACCAAGGGCTGTGACTTCAGGGCCAAGGACCCAGTGGGAAGGAGACGGGCACACGGTCCTCACACCTCCTGTGGTCACTGGCTGGCATGGGGTGTACACAGATGAGTCCACCTGTTCCCAGTTCACGAGGGAACTCTCAGTCCAGCAAGTGAGGGGATGGGGATGGGAAGGAGCTGTCAGTAGGGAGGAGCAAGGTCAGCTCTGGCCATGGAGAGGACTGGAAGGGGAGCCTGCAGGCTGACAGGAGGGGAAGGAGGCTGGGATGAGGGTCCAGGCAGGGGTAGGTGACACCTGAGCAAAGGAATGATGCCTCAGATGCTATCAAATGACCTGCTTTTTCCCCACGGAGAGTCAGGCCAGGTTGAGCATAACTCTCACCTTTAGTTTTCCCACTGCTACTCAAGGCATCTTCAGATCCGGAACTGTCACCGTCTGAGAGGAGGGATGACCTGGGAGAGGCAGCACAGCTGGACCACTTCACTTTCTTGGGAGAGATTTCAGAACTGGTGCTCCTCTTTCTGCTTGAGCCTAGAGACAGGAAGACCAAATGTAGACTGGAGTTACAAAGGTCCTTTCCAGGAACCATTAAACCAGAAACCGTGAGGTCATATTCAACCACTCTTCCCTTTGACCCTCACAGCCAAGTCTTGCTTCTCTGTCACTAAATATCTAAGCAAATCATTTCTTCATTTTAGTTCTTCTTTCCTTCATGAGTCTTAGCTTCTCTTTTATAGCCACTAAGCACTTTGTCACTATGTGTGTGCGTCTCCAGGTAATTTCTTCAGATCTATCTTCCAGTTCATTATTCTCCCTTCAGCTGTGTCTAGTCCAGCAGTTTAAACCATCCAATGAGTTTCTGACTGTCATGATGATTTTTGTTTTTCTTATCATAGATTTTATCTGGTTACTTTTAAAATCTGCCTGGTCAGTTCTAACTAACTTTTGTTCCTTTGTTATATTTTCAATTTCTTCTTTTATTTCTATAAACATGGTAAATGTGCTCAGTACATATTCTCATCTATTCATTCCAAGGTCTAGGTAATTGCTGGTCTGATTCTATAGTTTGTTGTTTCTCCTGACATTGGCTTGTCTCCTGGTATCTTTATTTTATTTATTTATTTATTTATTTATTTATTTATTTATTTATTTATAAGTTGTTATTTATTTATTTTAAAATCTTCTTTCAAAAATTTGTTTAAAGTGGCAGTTTATTTTTATTTATTTATTTACTTTGTGGGGAGAGGTAGGTAGGCTTATTTATGTGTTTAGTTTTTCTAATGGAGGTGCTGGGGATTGAACCCAGGACCTTGCGCATGCTAGCACACGATCTACTGCTGAGCTATATACCCTTACACCTGGCATTGATTTTTTTTCCCCCAGTATTGATTTTTAAAGAGAGAGCTGATGAGATCTGCTAGGAAGTTGTGGGACAATGGGGAAGTCTTTGAAAGGAGCAGATTTAGAGGGGTGCAGGTCAGCAGTTATATCAGAAGCTTTGTTCTGGGCATGTGGAGACACATATGGGAAACTCAGCAGACGTCAAGCAGGCAGTATGATGTACATAAATGTGAATTTCAGGGGAGGAGTCCAGGCTGGAGACAGAAATGTGAGTTGTCAACTTTAGAGCCAGAAGCCTGATAAGATGCCAAGAAACTGAATACAGAGCAAGCCCTGGGGTTCTCTGGTATCCACTCAGGATCAGGCAGGCTGCAAAGGCATCTGTCCTCTCTCCCCAAATGCACGCACACACCCACATTACCCCACATCTGAGGAATGGCCCAAAGCCCTGGTTCTTACCTCGGAAGGATGACATAAGAGGTCTGACAAAGGCCTGGGACCCCACATGCTCCTCCGTAGGCACAGGTTTTCCGCAGTAGGGGCAGAATTTGAATGTTGCTTCAATACTTTTGCCACAGTCTGGACAGAAAATCATGCTAGAAGACACATGTGGGGGTAGGGAAGGGAACAGGAAGCTGAAAGAAAAACTTAATCTACTGCTGACAAGTAGTCACCTGAATCCCCCACGGTGACAAGATTGCAAAAGGAATAAAGATTATCACACTTGGAATATACTCTCTTGGAAACTGGCCACTTGTAAAATGAGTTTCTGCCCACTGTGTCCAACCTCTAGCCACTTGCCTCTCCCTAACAGTCTAGGGAAGGTATAAAACAGAACAAATGCAAAGTAAAACTGTAGACCTCACAAGAGATATGGGAATGCTTTGAGGTCAACGTTAAGTTATGCAGGAGAACTGCTCCGATCACAGAAACATAGAGGGTTTTCAACTGCACTTGTGATGTTCATTTCTTGAACCACGTGATGGAGACGAGTCTATTAGTGCTCACCAAAAATCCACGTGCTCCCTTTGATTTCCTAGGGTCCCTTGCAGTGAGACTGGGGCCACATGACTAGTTCTGGCCAATGGGCTGTGGGTGGAAGTCATTTCCTGACTGAGACGGTTAAGAGCCTCAGTACCTCCTCTGTCCACCTGTCCTCTGCAGGGATGGCCCAGATGGCCACGTACTCCAGGTGACATAGGGACAAGATGAAGGGGAGCTGCTGGGTCTACATCACAATCTCATGATCTGCAAATCAACTGATGCTGTATGAAGCCACCAAGATTTCAGGGTTTATTTGTTACTGCAGCACAGCCTATACCTATCCTGACTAACTTAGTGAGATAATGGGTGTTCACTATGTTATCCTCTAAGCCTTGTGTACTTCTGGAATATTTCCTAATACTTAAAAAAATCAAAACCAAAATCATGCACAGAGCCTAGGGCAAATGTGGATGCAGCAGGTGCATTCATTTGCTTGGGTAGCCACAACTAAAACCGTGAGAAACCGCCACCTTGATCTTGGACTTCCCAGTCTCTGGAATAGTGAGAAATAAGTTTCTGTTGTTTTTAAGCCACCCAGTCTGTGATATTTTATTATAGCTTCTCAAACAGCCTAAGACAGGCCCTAATCCGATATGGTGTCCTTAAAAGAAGAAGGGATTAGAACACAGACAGAAGGAGGCTTCAACAACAGGAATTGTGGGGAGGGTATAGCTCAGTGGTAGAGTGTGTGCTTAGCATGGACAAGGTCCTGGGTTCAATCCCCAGTCCCTCCATTAAAAAAAAAGATCAAGGGAAAAAAAGACCCCAGGAATCATTTTCTCACAATTTGGGAGGCTAGAAGTCCAAGTTCAAGGTACCAGCAAGTTTAATTTCTTCTGAGGCCATTCTCCTTGACCTGCAGAGAGCCGCCTTCTCACTTTGTCCTCACATGGTTGTCCCTCTGTCTGTGTTCTAATCTCTTCTTTGAAGGACACCAGTCACACTGGATTAGAGCCTGTCTTAGTCTGTTTGGGTGGCTATGATAAAATATCACAGACTGGGTGACTTAAAAACAACAGAAACTTATTTCTCACAGTTCTGGAGACTGGGAAGCCCAAGATCAAGGTGTCACCATGGTTGGGTTCTGGTAAAGGCCCTCTCCTGGGCTGCAGACTGACAACTTCACATTATATTCTCACGTGGAGGAAGGGGTTGCAGAGATCTCTGGGTCTCTTTTATAAGAATACTACCCATTCATGAGGGATCCACCCTCACAATCTACTCACCTCCCAAAGGCCCCATCTGTTAATATCATCGCACCGGGCATTTCATTTCAACATATGAATTTGAGGGGGAACACAAACATTCAGGCCACAGCAGGACCACCTTAAAGACCTCATTTTAATTACCTCTTTGAAGGCCCTATCTCCAAATATGGACACATTCTGAGCTCCTCAGGGTTAGGGTTTCCATATACAAATTTTTATAGGACATAATTCAGCTCATAAGAGCAGTATTAAACTAGTTAACCAGTGAGGCAGAGAAACTTGGCAAAGATGACAGGGCAACAGGCATTTGAAAGTGAACATACTTTAAATAGCAAAAGAAAAAATAAAATTATTTTATTTGGTCTTTATTCTAAGACTTAGTGTACAGTGCCAATTATAAGCTGGAGTATCAAAATAGAAGTCAAAGTAAACTTGAGCTTGTGACTTCACTTTACATTGTAAGACAAAGATCTTTTTTATTTATTTAACTTTGACAAATAACAACTGTCTATATTTAAAGTCCACAACTTGTTTTAGGGGGAGGGTAGAGCTCAGTGGTAAAGCACATGCTTAGCAGGCACGAAGTCCTGGGCTAAATGCCCAGTACCTCTGTTAAAATAAATAAATACATATATAAACACACACACATACATATATGACAAATTGGGATTATAATGGAATGATCATAGTTTAGGCCTACAAAAATGGAGTTGTGTGGCCATTGAGGACCTGGTCTCAGACACATCCCTGCACCACTGAGAACTTGGACTTTCTGTGAACTATACCTAACCCAAGGACACCAGCTGTTTTGAAAACAACACCTGCTACCTGGAACCTTGGGTCTTAAGGTTGTTCTCCCTTGTAACTAAGCAGCACTTCAAACACCAACGGATCCTTGTTTAACAAACACCCTTACTTCCTGCCAGCTCCAATTATAATTCTTGCTAAATAACTCATGTAACTAACCATGAGCTTGCAGTTTTTGCCTTTATAAGCGTTCTCTGTTTGTAGTCCAGTGCAACACAACTCAAGTGCTTCTTGAGTCTGTGTCTCCTGCGCTGTAATCCTAACAAGCCCCAAATAAATGCCTCTTTATTTCAATCAGGTCTTTGTTTCTGAAATTTTGGTTAACAGGATATATTACGAAAGGATTATCAAAGGAGTACCACAATCAAACTCATTAACATAACAATCTAACAACCATCATTGCTATGACTTTTTTGTGTGTGTGGTGAGAACACTTGAGATCTACCCTCTCAATAAATTTCAAGTATGTTATTATTTACTAATAGCTGCCATGCTATTAAATCTCCAGAACTTATTTATCTTAAAGTAGGGAGTCTATACCCTTTGATGACTATCACCTCTTTTCCCTCACAGCCTCTGGCAAGTACCATTCTACTTCCTGTTGCTATGAGTTTGACTTTTTTTTTAATGGAGGTACTGCGGATTGAACCCAGGACCTCCTGCATACTAAGCATGCGCTCTACCACTGAGCTATAACCTCCCTGCTAAGATGGGGCTTTTAATAGTCCTTATTTGACAGAGTGGTTGGAGGCCTAAATGGAGTACATTTCTATCAACTGCTGAGAACAGGGCTTGGACTACAGAAAGCTTTTTTTTGGCTAACTTTCTCTGTATCGTTCCAATTTCTGTATATGTGCTGCCAAAGTGAGCACCAGAAACCCTTTTATCTCAGTGGTTGCGATTACCCTATCATGCCATCATGCCTGGCATCCCGCCCACCATCTCCCATTCGCTAATATTTCCGTCCCTCCCTTTTCTCTTTCCATGTCCTAAGTTCTGAGCCTCTTGGGTCTCTCTATTTCCTCTTGGTGCTGACTTATGGAATTCAGTGCTTGCCTTTGAAAAACCTACGCCATCGAAACAGCTAGGGAAAGAAATCTCAACCAGAGGAGACAAGGGTTCCTCTTCTGCTGGGCCCACAGAGGAGCAGAAACCATGCTGTGGCACAAAACTGCCCTTCTGTTTTTTTATGCAAGCTGTGTAAGATACTTGATTATGAAACTGTTGCCAAGCACCCTTCAGTCTCTAAGCAGGCTGTAATTCTGATTGGTCATGGAACTTTAATAGTTTGTTGTCCTGGTAACACATTTAAATGGACATCTCTAGCTTTTCAAAGGTATAAAACCGGTGAGCATTTTTGTTAAGCTAGAGGACTCAATACTACTTCTATCTCCCTTTAGGCCATGACAAACCTGAAGCCCTTGTTTTGATGTTGGAGCCACAAGATCAAAATCGTCTAAAGGATGGTGATCCTGGAGAGTTCTTCCAGACTTTGCATTAGTGAGAAACTTGGGTTTGGGTTATGCCACTGAGACTTTGAGGTCACTGCTACCGCAGCAGAGTCTAGCCTAGTCTGACTAATACACTTAAGACTTTGCTAGGTGACTTATGTAAATAAAAGTGTGAAAACCTGTGATAATTTTAAGTGTCTTTGCTTCAAGTGGAATTTCCCTGGGTGACAAATACTGGTGGCTAAAGATGGCCTCCAGGAGGAGGCAAGCACCTGGATCACTCCGACGTCCATGATAACTTTCCTCTTTGGAATGAAATCTGAGAGCAGTCACCCAGAGGAGATGGAGCAGGAGCAGGCTGTTGGTGGGGAAATGGCCTTAAGGGGCATGTGCCCGAGGGGACTGGTACCTTTGTGGGGTCACGGTCAGGCCCTCAGATTCACTGGGCTGGAAACTCCATCTTAACAGTGTCCTGCAAGTGAATAAAGGTGGAGAGGCTGACTCAGGCTCTCTTTACATGTAAGTAAAAGATAACGGCTAATGTTTATTCCGCATTGGCAATGTAGCCAGCATGTGCTAAGTTCATTCATTCATTCAATAATTATTCACTGCACTCCTAATATGTGCCAACTAAGGGGATACAGCAGCAAAGGAAACAAACAAGGCTCCTAACCTGACAAAGCTCACATTCTAGTGGGTGAAGACAAGTTTAATAAACAAACAAGCGACTGTTTAATAGGTCAGGTGTAGGCAGTGCTAGAGTAAACTCTCAATAAATACGGATGGAAAAAAGACGGTAGTCTCAGAGTGTTAAAGTTATCGGTCCAAGGTCACATGACTAGTTCAGGACTTAAAACCAAGGCTCCAAAGGTCAGGCCAATCTTTATCATTTATTCATCCATTTATTTATTCAACAAACATACTGAACATCTACTATGTGTTCAGTACTGTGTCCCTCTTGGAAGGTCCTGAGAGACAGCACAGCAAAAGAGCTAAGGACTAGAGTCCACTTAAGCGTAAGAGGGATAATTGTCTAGGTGACGCGATTCGCCTCGGCCCCGCTCTCCGCAGGAAAAAGAGATGACGCGGTACCAAGGCGGGGCGTCTGTCAAATTCCTCATTAGCTCCGCCTGTCTCCGTCATAGCCACGCCCACCACCAAGAGCCCCCAAAGGGACTTGGGACAGGTTGGGTAGGCCGGTTATCCCGGTGACCAGAAGTTTCTCTCATCCTAACCTCTGACCCCACCTCCCGGGAGCTTTGTCTCCCACAAAGGGTCGTCCTGACGCCACAGGCACCACGACCGAACTGTGGCTAGGGTATCAGGAGGCCTCCCCCTGCTCCACCTGGCCTTTCCCTCACCTCTAGATTTGGTAAGCGGAGCGGGAACCAGATATTTGCAGCCAAACCCTCGGGGCCTTAAGCAAAAGTGGGACTCACCTTCTCAGTTGCCCTGCGGAAACTTCCGCTTGGGCTGGAGGCGCTGCGCGCGCATCCTCTCCCCCCCGAGGGATGACTGTGACTGCGCCCGCGCAGCCTATACTGACCTTCCGACTGCCCTCGGGCTGTGCCTACCTGGGAACTCCATTTCCCAGGCACCTTCGCGGCAGGCCAGCCCTCTGACTCAAGGCTGGCGGAGGGATTATTCCCTCATCGCCCAACCCCATTCCACCTTCTGTGGAAAGATTCCTGGTTCTACTGCGCATGTGCTAATGTGGAACCAATCGTAAGGAAGAATGAGCTACGAGGCAACTGTCGCCACCAGCAATCAGTCTCTCTTCTCACGCGTCAACACTGCCCTTTACCTTCATGGGTCTTAACACGAATTCAGTTTCCTCCTCGACATGTTTCCATGGCAACCCTCTAGTTGTCTCCTGTAAAAATGGAAAACCCTCCCGGTCTTCCAGAAAAGGCCGGAGGAGACTGATTAGGTTGTCTTTCATCAGGGTAAAAGCTGGACTACAATACCCAGATGCCACCTGTTGCCGAGTCTCTTTCTACTCTATTTCCCAGCGTGCTCAGGGGGCCCTTTAAGGACGAAGTAGCGGGTGGAGATGGGAAGACAAGGGGAGGCATTTGCACAGCCCTCTGGGAAACGGAGTCCTCGTGCTGGCGCGGAGGATCCTGGGTGGAGTAGCTCAGAGGAGACTCGCGGGGCACAGGAAGCGGTTGCGAGGAGGCGCGTGTGAGGGGAGTTGGGTCTCCGGCTCCTTCCCGGCTGCGGTCGCTTCTGTTAACACGGCGGACGGCAGTCTCCAGGTGAGGAGACGCCGGAGCTGGGATCAGTGAGGACTCTGGAGGCTTGTGGGCTCGGTCCTTCCCGAGGGATGACGGAATACTCATAGGGCAACTCCGACACTGGGCGCGTTGCGTTAGGCGGCGGGTGTCCAAGTGGAGTCTTGAACCCTTGTTCGGAGCCTGCTATGGGCTAGGCTATTGCTAAAGTGGTTTCTGGTCCTTGCCGACAGCCCTGAAAGGAGTGATTCTATTTTTAAAAACTTTAAAAATTTATTTACCTTGGTGGAGGTAATTAAGTTTTTAAGTTTATGTTTAGAGGAGGTACTTGAAATTGAACCCAAGACCTTGTGCATGCTAAGCATGCACTCTACCACTTGAGCTATACCCTCCCGTTTCATTTTATTTTTGGGTGAGGAAACTTAGGCTGCAGGAGCGGGTGAATTGCCTGAAGTCGTAGTAGAGCTGGGCAGGATCTTGAGAGATGAGTAAGTGGGAGTTCTTTACAAGTCAAGGTATTTACCATTTATTTGAGCGCCTTCTGGGTGCCGGGGGCCGCGCCGTCCTCGCAGTTTCTCCAGTAACCTTCACAGCTGTTCCCCCGTCTTATTGGAGACCCTTAACAGTAGGATCATCTCGGGAATCAGAATTTTTCAGACTTTACCAAGTTAATAGGGTGCGTATTTCATCATTCGGCCACACCCCCAGCGAGATCTGGGGCAATTCATGGAAATAGAGTATTTCTGCCGGGAAAGACATGAAGATTCACACTGAAGGCAATAAAGACTATACATAGCCTGTGGCAGTTTGGGTTGAGTTTTGCAGCCAATTTATGAATAAAGTTCTGGTTTTCAGAGCCTTTTGTTTTCAGAATTGCAAATAAGGGATTCTGGATCAGTTGTATCTGCCCCATTTCGTACAGATAGAAACTGAGGCACAGCGGGTGAATGATCTGGCCATGGTACCACATGAAGAAGAAGCAAGACTCCTAAACTCCAGGGTCTAAGGCTTTCCAGTTCCATAATTATTTAGTTCAAGTTATTATGATCGGCTGGGTGACCTTGAGCTTCATATCAGGGCTTCCGTTTCTTCCCTCCCAGGGCTGGGAGTGTATGAGATGTGGACAACATGTGATTTGGAAACTATAGATAGCGTTCTCAAAACTCAGATGTCTGTGAAGGCCAGGCAGAGAAGGTCAAGGAGAGAAGAGGTCTGGGTGAGGGCTGTGTGCATCGTGAAGGTCTCGCCCCATCTACCGTCTCCAACAAACTAGCTTCGTGGGAATGCAGACCCAGTCTGGCCAAATCTGAGGATTTTTCAGAAGCTGGCAATTGAATTTTTAGGTGATATTTCCCAGCTTTCAAGTTTGAGATTACTGAAAAGAATTTTCTGTCAAAACATTCTATGCCAGTTTAAGACCAGATAAAAACATCTGTGGATCGAATTATACTCACAGGTTGAGACTTAACCTCTGTCATGAGGAAAATCATTCTTGGGTAAAACATTAGTACTTATTATAGGTCAGCCACATTCCTTTATCTGTAGTCACAAAATCTTGAAAACTCTGAAAACCAAACATATTTTCCACTAATTTGGTGCCCGAACCTGACTCAAACTGCTGTGATTTATAACTTTTAAATATCCTACCTACAGGGACTATTTTACCTTCACTCTAGACATACTAAGCATTCAATTATGAAATGCTCCTCCTCATCCCCTCTGCCCCACTGCACTGGGATTTTAATGAAATACACCGTATATATAGTGGATCACCTTTTGAACATCTGAAGATTTCTGAATTCAAAGCACATCGGCCCCAGAAGCTTAAGAATTGTGGACCTGTGTCATTGCTGCTTCGTCATCCGAAATGCTGTCGCCATTCCAGAGATATATGCTGCTCAGGAAACACACAGCGGCCACACCAGTGGTCCAGTGTTTTGCATAATTATAGGTCATGAAAATAACTAAGTGGGCAGTGACCATAATTTTTTTCTTTTAATGAAGTAAAATAAAAGTAACCAGAATGGTAAACATCCCAGTACATTCTACTTTGTAAGGTTAAGTACTGTTTCACGACGTTTTCTTTAGTTATGTATGCAAATGAGTCATCATGGTGTATCTTGTCTTTGTTACTGTGGGTCATGGTTAAAGAAAAAAAATAATCGAAGAAATCTTACTGTTGTAGAATTAGCAACAGTTTTGGAGGCTCATCTGGGCTCAAGTCCTAGAGATGATAATCAGAAATCCCAGAAGCGTCGTCCCAGGGTTTTGGTTAGAGAGATAACACGTGTTCTGTCAACAGATTATTTCAGAGGGGCGGGTAGAGCTCAGTAGTAGATCGTGTGCTTAGCATGCATGGGGTCCTGGGTTCAATCCCCAGTGCCTCCATCAAAAAAATAAATAAACCTAATGACCTCCTCCTCCCCCCAAAATAAATAAAAACAATTTAAAAAGGGGGGAACCCCAAATATTTCAAAAGTACCTGCTGTGTGCCAGGCACTGTGCTGTGCTAAGACACAGCAGTGAGCGAGACAGAAGGTTCCATCCAGTGAGAGACTGCAATCTCCACGTCTCCCAAGCGTATATTTACTGACTGTATTTTCTGACTGTGAGAAGTGCTAAAAACTGTTGTGAAGTTGCCCGGTAGGCTCTGAAGTGCAGTAGAAATGTGGGGCTGGGACAGTGTCAATAAACAGAATTGTTGTTGTGATTTCTGCAGGGAGACTCACGTTCTGACTCATCCTCCTCCTGCTGGAAGTTTTGGGGGCTCCAGCAATGGCCAGAGAGGCAGCCGTAGGAGGAAGGGACCCTCTCTCCCAGCTCCCCTGTCCTGTCTGCTGCCCTGCTGGCCAGGATTGTGGAGGGGAAGGAGGGGGAGCTTAAACAAGGACTGCTGGGCCCTGGTCGGCTATGACTGAGGTGAGTCAAGGGGCCCTCCGGTCCTCACCCATCAACCCCAAAGGCTGCACAGCTGGCCTGCCTGGGTTTCGGCTCCTTGTCTTACGATGGCCCCCAAGTCGATCATCTTAAAGTAAAGCTCTCCTGCTCAGCACCCTTCCCGGAATCCCTGCTACTTGCACGATAACATCCAGATTCCTCAGCCCATCCCGGCATGACCTGGGTCCCACCCTGTCCACTGCACCTTCTTCACCATTTCCCCGCACAACCCCTACTCCCTTCTTGGCATGGTGGTAAAATGTTACCCTGTACTCCCCGGCTTCCCGCCTTTGCTCAGGCTCCTCCCTCTGCTAGAATACCTGGCCCACCCCCTCCGGATGGTGGGTCTGACACAGCCTTTAAGACCCAGCTCTTTCCCCCAACCTTTCCTGGGCAGAGTCAGCTCTTCCCTGCTCTGGTCTCCCGCCTCATCCCGCTGTCTCCACTGGAGCACAGATCTACCTGGATGGGGTGTCCCCTCCTGTATCTCTCAGCCCCACCAAGCTGGGTGCTCCATGGGGACGGGTGCTGATTGGGACTCATCTCTCGGTCCCCCAGAAAGCCTTGAAGTGTTTGTTGCATGAATGAATTAAAACCTTCCTTGGCATAGTAGCTATCTGCTCATCCTAAATCACCCAACTTGACTACCCTCCCCTCTGGGAAGCTTTCCTTGACCCCAGGGCAACATCCTCACTCCCTCCCCTGGTCACACAGCTCAGGATATCGCCTCATCACAGCCCTGTCTCCTTATGCCTGCCATCAGCATCCCTGATGCCTCTCCCATCAGACTGTGAGCTTCCCCTGGCCAGGGACCAGGTCTTACACACCCATGTCTCTAGTGTCCTTAAAGAGGGTCTGGCACACAGGAAATGATTGTTGAATGAATGAATGCTCTCACCTGGTCACTCTCCTGTAGAAAACTCTGTGGCTCCCCAGTGCCCCACAGATCGAGGCCATACCCTCCACCACTGTTTCCAGGGGTCCTGTCCAACCAAGTTGAGGAGTCGAGGAGAGGAAGCCCCTTGGGGTCCTCTGACCTGGCTCCTGCTGAAAAAGTCCTCTTCGGCTCATGCCTTTCAAAGGATATAGACAGCAACAGTTTCAACCACGAATAACAGAACACTTGACCCAAACTGGTTTCAACAGTCAGTACGCTGTATACGGCACAGGACCCGAAGGGCCAGAGGTGGGGTTGGCTTGCTCTGCCAGGCCAACTGGTATGGTCAGGCGCTAGTTTACTGTCCCCGTCTCTCAGCCCCGCTTCCTGTCGGCTCCATCCTGGATGAGCTCTTTCCCACGTGGTCCCAAAACAGCTGCCAGGACTGTGTGCCTACTCTGTGCAGGCTTTGTTCTAAGTGCTGGTCTGCATGCCAGGGAACCAGCCAGCCTGATGGCCCCTGCCCTCAAGAAGCTGACATGTTATTGG